TGAACAAGGTGAACGTGGTAAATCCTTTCCCTTAACAACAAAGCCCAGGGAGGTGCCAAAGGCAGGCAACAGCCAGCGTCACCGCTGCGTCCCCTGGCTGTTCCAGCAGATCCCCGTCCCTCTCCCACCCTCAACGCCTGAGGTTTCAGACTTGCCCCGGGGCTCTTCACCAGCCGCGCTGAGCTGCTGGCCCGAGGCAACCACGAAGCCGTTTCCTATTTTGCTGCTGGAATCAGACTTTAAGACCGAGATGTTGAGGCTCGAGTAATGGGGTTTTACTTCCTCCAACCCCTCCTGCCCAGCGTTCTCGTTCCCCTTCTCAAACTCGGGAGGAACCTCGCCTGAGCCCACCTCTTTTGCCTGAGGTTTTTACTATACAGAGAGGAACCAAAATCACTTATTTACTGGGTGTCAAACACACTTATTGTCATTTGCCACTACCAGTCAGATCAGAAATCAACTCAAGGGCTTGGATATTTGAAGAGGTCTTTTTACGGCTGACTTGCTAAGAGAACAGAGAAAATACTTTGCATTTTCAGTAAATGCTTTCGTTAAATCAGGGGGAAGCTCTAGAACATTAACGAGATTACAACAATACACATTTAAATATTTTTGGGTGTGTAGAGCCAGCTCGCCCCTTCCCTAACGTTTATAGAAAGTGAAGTTTAAAACACTCTGGGTTTAAGCTGCTTCTGCGGCGCCTCCGTGCCCGCACCGCTGCGGCCGCCCCTGCGGCGCCAAGAGCTGAGAAGGGCGAAAGGCTTTCCCAAGGCATTGCAATGAGAGGTGCTGTGTCAGTGCCCAGCACCGTCAGCAGAGACGGACGGGGAGCTCGGGAGCAGCGGGCTGCATGGCGCGGAGCCTTCGCCCACGCTCTGCGTGTGGCTGGCACAGAGCTCGCCCTGCCTGGCTCCGTGTTAGGGCTTCCTTAACCCTTTGCTAATTCCACCCTGCAGATGCTCCTCTACGTTTTTTCCCCTCTAGGTCCAGCTCGGGAGCTGTTACACCTCTGTGCCTGTGCGGCCATGTCATTTGACTCGCCCCAGCCAAGCCTGGCCCTGTACCTGCAGACTATAAATAACCCGTGCTTGGTAGTTTACCGGGCCTTGCAGTAACAGCGAGAGAAGCAGCTCTCTTCCCCAATTTCAGCCATCACAAACACCAAACGAACACTGGAATCGATACGCAGTTCCATTTCACATCCGAAGTCAGACGTCTTGCAAAATGGCGTAACCAAATACCCTACCCTCAGGCTGCTGTTCACGCTCAGCCTCCGTTTCTCTCCCCAGCCCCTCCTTCCTTAATTTTGTCAAAGATTTGGGGGTTTTCAGTTTCCTCTACAGTTTCCTCCTTGCTATAAGGATCTGTCTGAGCATGGCGCTGATTACAAGCATCTGATTTTCTACTTCCCCTCTAGAAACCACGAGAGGTTCCTTACCTTTTGACTTTGAGATTGCAATGATTTCTTCTTCTGGACTCATTTCTTCTAGAATTTCCATTTCTTCTGGTCCTGCAACAGCAACAATATCCTCCTCTTCTGGTCCTGCAATAGCAGCAATTTCTTCTTCTTCTGGTCCTGCAACAGCAATAATATCTTCGTCGTCTTCATCCTCGTTCAGATTTTTCCCGGGGAAAATATTTTCTTCTTCCTCATCCTCCTCTCCAACTTCATCTACTGTAACAAAGTTCAGTTCCTCTTTCAGACGATCAAAATCAGCCAGAAAATCATCTTCATCTTCGTTAACTTCATCCAAAGTCACCAGAGGGTTATCTTCGTTGTCCTCTTGTATTTCATCTACTGTCACTAAAGCGCTGGGATCGTCGGGCACCTGAGAGGCCGCGCCATCTCCCGTGTCCTCAGCGGTCCCTTTGTCATCCTCCTTCTGTTTCAGCACCTCCTCAATATTCAAGTCCGTAGGCTCGTTCAGAGGCAGCTCTTCTACTTCACCTATTTCATCTACAGTTACCAAGGGCTCGGCTTTCAAATCCTGCTCCTCAAAGACCGACCTCGGGATGTCTTTATGAGAACCGAGGTCCTCCTGCTCAGATATCTCATCCAAAGTAACAAGCGACTGGGGATCCTTTACGGCTTCTGACATGAGTTCTTCCTCTTCCATCACTTCATCCACTACCACCAGGCCCTGCGGGTCACTGAGCGCTTCGAAATTAGCAACCCCCATTAGCGGGGCAGTCGTGTCCTCCTCCTCACCGATTTCATCCAAAGTGACAAAAGAGAGCTCGCTTTCAGCAATGCGCGCTGCGGAGCTTTTCCCTTTCCTTCTCTTAGAACTCGGCTCAGAGGAGTTGGTTTTAGCACCGTCTTTTCTCTTTCCCCTCGGTGGATTTCGCCGCGTTTTAACGGGAGACTCAATTTCCTCTACCACCTCATCCACGGTAACAAATTCATCCAGGTTAAATGGAAACAGCTCTTCTTCCTAGAAGTGTAAAAATGCGAATACAAGAGTTTAACATTCACCCAGGGACACAAACACCTCCATCTGCAGGGTGCCTCATGGAAAATATCTACACACTGAACCTGCCTGAAGGGGGTGGGGAAAAAAAAAAAGCAACTTGACTTAAGGGTAGAAAATAATTTCCAGGCCTCTCATGTGGAAGAACTTTAATTATCAGCATTGGTGCTAAGTAAGCAGATTTAACTCAGGAACCCAAAGCATTTCTCAAAACCACGGAGGATGAATAGACAAAAATCTGTGTCTATTAAAAGAACTGGGCCCGTGCCCTGAACACTCAGGTATATTTTTGCACTGACTTGCAGGAAGAGTAGTGCAAATCTGAGTAGCTCCAGAGGATCCTTCAAAGATACTGCTACCTTGCGCCGGTACCTCATTCTCCTCCCTACACATACGCTGTTGGCCACTGCTACAGAACGGGAGGCTGCATTAGATGCTTCGACCCAGCAAAGCCGGGCCGTGTCCCGATGACTGCTCGCTGTTTGATCTTGCCTCCTCGGTTTCAATCTCCTAACCAACACCGCGGTTTCAGAGAGGTTCTCCAACAGCCCTACGCTCCAGCCCAGGAAAGGGCTCCCAGTACGGGAACCTCCCTTGGTCTCTCTATAACCAACATGTACAAGAAGATCCTTTGCCCCTTTCTGTTAGGGCCTGACAGGCGCTCCGGCAGACCAGCTGCTCCTCCGGGGCCAGCCACATTGCAGGAGGGGCCAGCGGGCAAGCTCCAGCTTTCTGGCAAAGGCCCTACTGTATTTTGATGTTTAAGATGGCAGAGCCTGGCCCTTAGATTCTCCTCAGCCAGTGGCATGCTCTTACTGGAGCGTGTTTGCATCTCGAACTCCTCCTACCCTGCAGTTTGACCACACCAGCTTCCACCAGGGCTCACGCAATTCATTCTAGGACCACTGGAAAGAATTCAGCAGCAATGTAACGCCCTACGTAGCAGAGAGCATCCGGAGGAGGATGTAGGTACACGTGCTGAATTTAATGAAAGGGTGAATTAACCCAAATTACTGCTAGGTTATATGAAAAGACAGCAGTCACGGGTTTGGAACAGAGGGTTGTATCTTGTTCACTGTCAAAAAGCTACGCATTTATAACCAGGACGGCAGGATAAAGTGGATAAGATGGGTACTTTAGTCAATCAATAAATTAATTTTAGACATTAAATTGCATCCAAATATCCATTGCACCCCAACGTGTGCAATCTTCAATGAACAATTGTGAATTTATTTTTTTTCCCAAAAATATTCCATCCTCCCATCAAATACTGGCCAGTATCTAACACAGAAAGAGTGAAACAACTTTAAGGCCAAGGCTAGAGGGCAAGACAGCAGCTAAGAAACACTAAAACCAGTCCTCCAGCAGAAAAAGTCACCTTCAACTCCAAGGCTACGTGCCTTTTCCTCCCTCTCTTTTTAAAAAAGCTAACAAATAGTAGGAACAGCGTCTGCTGCCACCCACGTCCTGATGCAGAAACTCGAGGAGCATTTAATTCAAGGTGGGCACAGTGAAGAAAAAGAAGGAAAATATCTGGTTACAGCTCAGCTGAAACCAAACGTTACGGGATTTTTTCTTCCCCGAAAAGGAGAACACAGATCTTGGTTCTTATCAGCTGCGTAATAAAGCCGTCAGAGCTAACTGACATTACAAAGCCTTTTTTCAAAGGGTGCAGAATTTCCTCTTGGGGAATTAACAAACGCATCTGGAACATCAGATGCAAAAGCATCCTCTACTACCATCAACTGCCCAAACACACTGCGCTGGTGATGCGAGACGTTCACATGGATTAAGGTTACTAAAAGGATTCAGACCTTCAACTCTGTCTCAGAAATCCCTTTTCCATAGGGAGCCACTGCTTACCTGGTAGAGCTTCGATTTGATGGGGTAACGCTACTTCTACGAACTGATCAATATGGGGGTTTATTACCTTCTTTCTGTTTTTCTTCCCTAAAGCCCAAGCTATCTAAGAGAAAGAGCAAGGGTATCGCTCTTCCCCTCCCTGCAAAAACACAGACCCTTTAGCAGCTGAGCCTATGGGCTCCTCAAACCAACGCTGCACCAAAAACGTACAGCTGGAAACATCTTTGCATGGAAGAGGTACCACGGATGGAGATGTTCTGACTGCCTCCTGTTGTACAAAATCAGCTCTAAAAAGAGCTAAAAAACTTCAGCCTTCCTTCTCACAGGTGTGGTGATGAATGAAGAACTCATGCAGGCAACTGGAGACCCAGTGAATTAATTCTCCCTCTCAAACAAATGACACCTGAGACCCAAAACCTCCTCCTCTTAACGCTCGCTTCGTGAACTAAGTTTCAAGTTTCTCTTCCAAATGACTTTGCAGCTTTATGCCCGCAGTCAGTAACAACTAGGAATACAGAAAATTCCCTAGGGAAGGACGCTGAAGATTCTTAGCGTGCACGCACACCCACACACGCACTGTCGAGACAATCTGACATTAAGTTCATTTACAGTTCCGTCCTTACCTCCTTCTGCTTTGCACTGCTGCTAGTGCCACTCTTGGAAATTTTAGTGTTGCCACCACCGGAAGCCTGCAAAGTTAGACAGAAGTTCAGGTGAAATCAGTTAAGCCAACTGACCTGCCCATGAGAGAAAAAAAAAATAATTTTAACAATCAGCTACTTCTTCCCTCAATGAACTTTTTTAAGTTGTCCAGATTGCTGCTTCTGATCACGTGTTTGGCAAACACAGAACTAAGCCAACCGTCAGTGGTGGAGTCCAGGCATACAGTCTCTAGCAACAAGCCACGGGGAATGCCTCGCTTAGTAGCCTCTCGTCAGTAACCAGTGTCTGCGCAGGACTTGACAAAGCAAATATCGGCTCACAAAAGGACAAAGCTTACGAATTCCCATTCAGAACTAATCCAAGAACATAAAGTTAGGACACTCAATAATAAGGCTCGCTTCAAAAAATGCCTTCCTGCCATTTTTTCCAAGTAGCATTTTCGAACCAGTTACGTACTTGCGTTGCACACGCTGCAGCTAAAAGCAACTGGTTGCCCGCCATCTCGCTATTCCAACTTGTCTGTGGGCCCAAAGCAGCTGGGTGATTTATGGAAAAGGGAAGGGGAACATAACCTCATTGTCCCATACTCAACATCTGAGAGAAGCATGAAGTTAGTTACTGATCAGGCACACTGAACCGGCCTTCCTGCCCTCCTCACCTTATTGCTGCTGTTGTCTTTCTTCATGCTGGATGATCTACTCTCTCCCTCTTGAGACTGTTTTGAACTAGCCCTAGATTCCACTCGGGAGTCCTTCTCTTGCTGAGATGAATTCCTCCCATTGCCTCCCTTTCCATCAACAACAGAACTTCTGCTCACTTTACATTTGCCGCTGCCATCTCCCAGGCTTGACTGGCTGCTCCCAGGCCGTGGATGACCCTCTTCTTTTGATGCGATTTTCTTCTCCACTGCTGCTTGGCCTCGGGTCTCAGGCTTCGAGGGAGCCTTCTGCTCCCCTCCTTTACACAGGGAAGGCTCATTTCTCCGTACTGGAACCCTTGACTTTGATATATCCAGAAGAGACACCACTGCCTTTAAAATCGTTTTGCCAACAGCAGCAGATTCCTTGGCAGACAGAGAGGAGTTCAGCGTAACTGCTTTGCGGCTTTCGTCAGCTTTTGCCGGTCCCATCCCTTTATTTTGATGGGCTTTGATGAAACTTCCTTCGTTGTTCCCACTGGCAGCATTTGCAGCGTTTTCCGTAGCAGCCCCAACCTTGGCCACAGGTTTTTCATGCTTCTTCTCTGTCTCTGCCCCAGCCTTGACCAAAAGCTTTTCAGCATTCTCCTCCACAGCTCTTCCAACTTTGAGCGCAGACTCTTCTGGTTTCACCTCTGTGTCTGCTCCAGCTACATCCAGTTTCTTCTCCACGGCCGCCCCAGTTTTAATTATGGGCTGCTTCTCTATTACCGGAGTTACAGGCATTTTGTGTTCAGTTTTCACAGCAACAGAAACAGTATTTTTTTCAGGAGCACCCAACTTGTTTGTTTGTGTGACAAGGGATGACACCACCTCCGCTGAAGCTGCATCGGAATCGGGGGGCACCGCTTCAGGGACGGCCCCTGTCGTACCCCCAGCTGCCGGCTTCGCAGCACAACCTGACGGCACATCTTCAGCCTTGCCCGCATCGGACAATTCTTCTGGAGGTTCAACAGCAGGAGCGGGCAACTCTTCGTGTTTAACCTCCTGCTCCGACGCAGATGCAACAGCAGATTCCAGCAACTCTGGTTCGGTATCGCCGCTGCCTGCCTCTTCTTTCTCCACGCTGGGAGGCGGCGGCAGCGTCTCTTCTGACTTTGCTTTGGATGGGTCGGTAGCAGCAGATTTGATAGATGCCACCGCAGCTTCGCCTCCAGCACCCGCCTTCTCCACCGACGTTTCTGCCGGTCTTGGAGCAGACTCCCTTACCGCTCTTTCAAGCTGGGACTCAGAGGGCTCTATCTGTCCTGCTGACATCTCGTCTTTGACATTAGAGATGGAAACGGGTCCCTTCTTTGCCACACTAGGCTCTACTGGAGGATTAGCAGCTGCTGTTTGCACCACTCCTGATCCCTCTGGATATTTTTTCAAGCCAGAGCTAAATGCATTTAAAAAAAACAGAAGAAATCAAACTATGTTGAGAATTCTACAGTTAGCAGAAACCTCTTGACGCCAATGGTGGGGGATTTCCTGATGCATTAGTGCTTAGCATTTGGAAATCTCGCCTATCAGTGTTAAAACGGTTAAAAATATTGAGGCAAATAGCTGATTAGTTTTATGCTTCTGTTTAATCCACCTCAGTACCGCAAGCCTCTTGCACTTCACATTACATTACATGGAGTCAGACCTCTCAAGGTAGCGCCCGCTACAGCAGCGCCCTGCGATCTCAGCGCTGGCACAGACTCCTAAAATTTAGATGCAAGGCAGACTGTGAAAGCACATGGACAGCGAAAAATAAACCTCCAGTCTCCCTGTATAGAGGAGTTACCGGAGTTTTGTTACGTTTGAAGGCGGCAGACTCCGCAGTCACCAACCCAGAGGGCTCTCCCAGCAGCCAGGAGGCTGAAGTTTGTTAATTTTTTTAAAATCTTTTTGGTTCAGGTTTGGGGGGAGGGAGGGGTTGCTTTGGTTTTAAAGGGCATTGACCTCGCACGATAGCGGGGAACACAGTACAGGCACAGAGGCTCCTTTTGGGCAGGCTCTGTTTTCACTGTGCAATCCCACTGTCAGCTCCCGGGATAACAAAGCCCAAGATGACAAAGCGGAGGATAGCGCTTTTCAGAGAACTGCAGTTACAGTAAGTGCCGTCGTTCTTCTCTGAAAGAAAGAATCCTCCGTAGATGATCTTGGGAGACACTGAAATTAGAGATGTCTGCGCCCCTTTTCCCACAAAGCTCGAGCATCCCAACAGCTCCTGCACCTCTAGATGGAAAGGTGCCGAAAGGCCAACGCTGACGACCTCGCCAAGTGTCAAAAGCAGCACAAAAAGCAGCAAACGCACGTAATTAATCAGTGGTTATGCACAACGGAGCAGCCTGCGCTGGGTTTTTCGGAACCCACGTGTGCAAACACTGGGTGCACGTTTGTATAAACCCTCATGGAAATAAAGAAGAGCAGAGGAGCTCTTTCGGTAAAACTCCCAGCGGGACGTCAGCAAGGGAATGGAAGGCTGGATCAAATGGAACCCAGGGCTGACGGGGATGTTAAGCCTTGAAGTGGCCAGATGTGAGGGTTAACGAGACGAAGACACAACGCATGGAGCCAACAGAGAGATGAAAACAGGCAAACTCCGTTAACAACCGTGCTGGGCGAGCACAACAAAAACGCCCATCTTGGCGGTTTCCTCCGGACCCGAGGGCACTGTCTGCTGCTACAAAATGCGAGAGGAGAGAGAAGAAGGGATGCAAATTCTGCTGCAAAACCTATCACAACCCCAATTTAAAACCGGCGTAGAAGCAACGCGCCGTAAGGGCGCCTCTCCCCTCGCGAAGCGGCAGGACCGCAGCATTCTGCGACGGAGCGTGCGTGCTCCCCGCCGCGCCCCTCAAAATGCCGGGCACCTCCTTCGGAGCCCGAGTGGCTCGACCCACGGTCACTGAAGCCTCACGGAAGAAAAGCAAGCTGGCTCATCCCAACCTCGCGCCCACCTCTATCAGGCTGCTTAGGCCCGTGATCAGTTTAAACTCGTTACTTGCAAATGGTTTGGGGCAAGCGTGCCCGACGAGCGCCTGAGCACTCAGGGCTCATCTGCTTTGTATGCCACAGGACCGGTTTACTCAGTCACAACACTGAAGAGATTTTGTCATCGACTAAACATTGTTTGCGTTCCAAAAGCAAGAACTATTTCAGTTAATTTTCTCTTCTGTTTGAGCATCCTACAGACCACTGAGATCTGCATCTCACGTGTCCGTGTAGCAAAACGTTACCTGGGTAAGTCGGAGCACAAAGCCCAGCAGCGCAGCTCTGAAAGCCCAGGTTGGTCCCTGATGCGTGGAAAGCTTAATTAAAGACAAGCTCTAACGCCTTGCTTGTACTCCACAGCCTCTGTTCATATATTTTTTGCAGGGAATGGAAAAACTTCAGTGAGCAGTGGAACCAGACACTGACTACAAAGCTTACAGCGAGCAGCACACGTCTATTACCCTCTACACAACTCAAATGAGAGATTGGGCTCTGAATCCTCAGGACTTTAAGTCTCCTTTCATCCCAACACCCACTCTGTGCCTTCCATGAAGCCCTGATGGTCTCCAAAATGCATTGATGGATTCAAACCGGACCATGATGCAGGGGAAGGAGAGCCCTACAGAGGCTGTGATGGGCAGAGATAAAGATGAGCGAGGCTGATGAAGCATGGAGGTGCCTGCAGTAACACTTGAAATACCTGTTCGGCACAGGGAAAGAAAGAGTGCATAGACCTGCAAGACAGATTTCCTGCCCAGGGGTTAGCGTAAAGGGTGAAACCAGCAATACCTGGCGCTGGAGTGTGCAGGGCACGTCCCTGCATTAGCTGCCATCGCAGCGAGTTAGCGAGGGCCAGGCTCGAGCGGTCAGCCCCAGGAACGCCAGCGCAGAGGCTGCGTCGCGGCGAGGGAGAACCTGCTTCCTGCAGCTCAGGACTGAAAGGAGCCCTAGAGCACTCCTTGATTCTTAACCTGGCCAAGGAAAGTTTCAGCTATTTTAGCTGACAAAACCAAATGCCAACACAATGCATCGGCACCCTTCAAGGGGCATTCACGTAAGCACGCCGGGCACTGCAGCCGCAGGGTTAGGTGAGCTACCCACGGGGCTGGGCAGCAACTGAGCCTCCCGAACTGGTCCAGAGTATTTTCAAGATCACCTCCTCATCCCGGGCAAGCGAGAGGGCAGCCCCTTCGGCTCCCCAGGTTCTGCTACTCCTTCCCTCCCCAGTAACACCTGACAAGGGCTTCCCATATATAAGAGTATTTAAGACGTTTTCCTGCTTCTTATGAAATGTAACTCAAAAGGATAACTGATCAGGTCACAAAAAGCTTACAGGGAGAGAAAAGCAGCCTCGGACAAGGAGAAGGTGCACTGCGTTGTTTGCAGGGAAAGATGTTGGTTCTCCCATCTGCTTGCCAGCCACGGCAGGATGCTGGGCAGCTGGGATTCACGTAAGAGTCGCTCGTTTGGATTAATTACTGCTGCTAGCTAAAGCCCGCCAGCCTGGAACCAAAGAGGTTACCTGCACGGCTGCCTAGGTGTGAGCCAGAGCCAGCTGAGAAACAAAAACGCTTCCCAAATTGCCTAGGGCCTGAGCAGAAGCTTCGTTAAATTGGGAGTGCCTAACTTCACTTCTGAAAGAAACAGGGTTTGGAAATAAGTAACAGTCCGTGACAGTATAATGGCATTGCTGGAAATTGAAGTGTAGGACCATTATTACACAGGTTTGGGGGTTTTTTTTAATGATAAAAACTTATCCAGAAATATGGATTTGAGTCACAGAAGGTGTTTTAGGTCGAGCCACGGCAGGATGCTGGGCAGCTGGGATTCACGTAAGAGTCGCTCGTTTGGATTAATTACTGCTGCTAGCTAAAGCCCGCCAGCCTGGAACCAAAGAGGTTACCTGCACGGCTGCCTAGGTGTGAGCCAGAGCCAGCTGAGAAACAAAAACGCTTCCCAAATTGCCTAGGGCCTGAGCAGAAGCTTCGTTAAATTGGGAGTGCCTAACTTCACTTCTGAAAGAAACAGGGTTTGGAAATAAGTAACAGTCCGTGACAGTATAATGACATTGCTGGAAATTGAAGTGTAGGACCATTATTACACAGGTTTGGGGTTTTTTTTAATGATAAAAACTTATCCAGAAATACGGATTTGAGTCACAGAAGGTGTTTTAGGTCGTATTTGTTAACAAGAGCTCTTATAATGATCTCTCCGTTTATAAAAAACACAGAATCAAGACTCTAAAACCAACAAGTAGTTACTCCACAATTAGCAATTTCACTACAAGCAATGTCGGTGAAACAATGTGAAATGGAACATACCAAAGCCCACCATTCCCCATTCCTAGGCTCTGATGTAAATAGAGCACCAAAACGTTTTTTTGAAATCAATGCAGGGCCCTGTATCGCAGTACAAAGTTAGCGTTAATAAGTTAAACAAGGAAGGTTCGGTTTATTCTTAGCATTTGGAAACAGAAACGATAGAGCCAGGTGCTCTGACAGAGGAAAGCGCTGTAGGATGAAATAAAGCAACCGCTTCGTGGTTAAATACAACAAAAAGTTGTCTTACCAACATGTATTTCCAAACATACTTTCCAGGACCTGTGGCAAAATCCTGGCCGTAATTAGTAAAACAATAACAACTCAACGAACTACACAGAACACAGGATTTCACCCCGTTTGCCCATGTTCTTTGAAAGCCCCGGATCCCAAAGACATGGCACACATGACCGCTCCACAGCGTGCACCGCACGTCCTGCACGCGCAGAAGACACAGAAGCTTGGAAGAAGTAGCAGCGGGTGATAGCTGATGGGTCTCGCAGCGGCCCTTTCCACCAGGCTCGGCTAGCGAGAGGGCTCAGCAACCCGCCCCGTCCTGGATACGCACGCCATAAATCAATAGGCACTTTAAACCCACCCGTAAATCCCTGAGAGGCATACCTTCCTTTGCTCGCTTCCTCCTTCTTCGCTTCTTTTTTCACAACTTCAGCCTGAAAGGCAAAACCGGGGGTTCAGTCTCTACGACTTTCAGAAGGATCAGCACAGAATTTGCATAACCCAGCTCATGAATACCACCACGAACCCAAATTTAGGCACGCGCCACCTGCAAGATGAAAAGGCGGTAAGTTGTGCTAAAGCTGTTCCCCACAGAACACCTATTTCCTACGACGGCGAACAGAAGCGCAGGGCAGCGTACGAGATGTCGCCCGGTCTGCGGGACAGGACACGCGGCGCGCCACCACGGTTTTGTTCGTCTCGTCTTTGAGCTGTCAGGGTTTAGAGCAGAATTAGCTTGAAGGCTGTGATACATGGGGAGAGAGGGATGGTAAGCGCATCTTTTCCCAGACAGCAGCTTCCTTCCTGTGTCGGCGAGGACGCTCAAGGGCGGCAGAGCTCAGGGCGAAGGCAGTTCGCCTGACGGGTATCGCACAGAAAACAGGGGCACACCTTTTCTACAGACAAATTATCTTCCGAGTCAAAACCCAAGGCCAGTTTCCACTCCTGAAAACCTGCGAATGTGGCATTCCTTTCCCGCAGGGTGACCGCGCCTTTCTGCTTGCTGTTGTGTCGAACAGACCTGTGGAATAAATGTGAAAGGCAATACTGCCTTCGGAAAGGAAGGCAACCACAAGCCACGCAAGCTCCGCCGCTATCGCAGTCAGCAGCACGCGTCCAAGCAGCCAAAAAACCCTTTAAAACCTCAGTGCTGAAATCTCTCGCTCTTTTCTGAAGGCATTCTACAAACTAACGTGAGGACTATCACTATTAGGAAGAGCTTTTACTTATGCACGTAATTCCAAAGCTTTCGGATTTCCCTTTCTAAAAGCATTTATTCCAGAGATCAGCGCCAAAAGTAATCTGATGTTCTAATGAATTAAAAACGATTTTGTTTTCCCTTCAGACTAGCTTCTGAATGAAAGGCTTCTAGAGAAAAGAGCATCCAGTAAATGGAGCTACAAGCTGGACGTCCCTACGGCACCAGGGGTATAATCCAGATGCGGGCACCGCAACCAGGCAGATGGACAACAGATGGAAAAACTCCACTTTCCCTCACAGCAGTGTGAGCAGGCCTTTTTCTCCCCCCCTCAGGTCCACTCCTAACCTCTCTTTTTATCTGTATCTCCAAAGCACAGGTTTGTTTTAACATTTGTGCGAGAGCTGGCACAGTCGCAGTGACGAAGACCGGAATGACGCCAGTTGTGGCCGTGCTCTGGCTCTGCGCTCCCGTTGCACATCCTCCTGCGCCGTCCCAGGAGTTTCCCCCCTATTTGTGTTATTTCAGCAGTATTAAACTCAGACATTACCAGCAAAATTCGAGAAACAAAACTGTAACACGCTCAAGGGAGCGCTGACATTGCTGCTGTTTCTACACCACCAGCACCAGCTCTGCCATCTGGCTGGCCAACCTCCCTACGTCAGACAAGCGCTCTGGATCACCCCGAGCGTGCAGCTGGAAAGAAATACCATTTTGAAAACCAAGCGTGAATGCCACTCTTTGTTGGCACGGAACTCCCCTCTGATGAGACGTTCATGGCGACTGTCGCTACACAAGATATAGGCAACGGCTAGAGAAAGCAGAGGTGGATCACAAAGTGTTCCCCAATGCATCCCCGACAGACTTTCCCTAGCACGAGCGCCTCCGTGAATGAGATTTTGCTTATTTTTCAGTGCGAAGGGACCTCACTACTTACATTCTCCAGACCTGAGGAACAGCTCATGAGCCTGAAGATTTGGTTATTTTCTTCAGCTACACAGGTACTCCAACAAAAGATGTTACTCTTAAATGCATCTGACATCATCAAACGCAATTGTAATTTATGTTGGTATAACTGATGTTCACTAGGTGAACTGAAATACAAAGTGGCTCAGGAGATGAGCACATTTCAAAGGGTCACGCTTGCAAGAAAGGTAAAAAACTGATTTTACACAGGCTAGGCTCTGCACGTGCACAGCAAGTGCGCATTTACTTGGAAAGGAGCACGACAAATCCACTCGAAAAACACGGGGGCCCAAATCGCACCTGGGTGTGCATCTGCGTATGTCCTAAACCGTGGCAGCTGCAACTGGACAGGTCCTGCAGGAGAGCCCCACCAGAAATGTGCACCTAAGATCCCTACTGACACAGGATGGCGTAAAACAGACAGAGAGTCTGGTTGGAGGCCAGTAGTGAGTGGAATTCCCCAGGGCTCGGTACTTGGTCCAGTCTTGTTCAACTTACTCATCACTGACCTGGCCAAGGGGACAGAGTGCACCATCAGCAAATTCAACGACAACACAAAACTGGGAGGAGTGGCTGATACGCCAGGAGGCTGTGCTGCCATTCAGCGGGACCTGGCCAGGCTGGAGAGTTGGGCGGAGAGGAACCTAATGAAGTTCAACACGGGCAAGTGTTGGGTGCTGCCCCTGGGGAGGTGGAACCCCATGCACCAGTACAGGCTGGGAAGCAGCTCTGCCCAGAGGGACCTGGGAGTCCTGGCGGATGACAAGGTGGCCATGAGCCAGCAGGGTGCCCTGGTGCCCAAGAAGGCCAATGGCACCCTGGGGTGCATCAAGAGGAACATGGCCAGCAGGGTGAGGGAGGTTCTCCTCCCCCTCTGCTCTGCCCTGGGGAGACCCCACCTGGAGCTCTGTGTCAAGTTCTGGGCTCCCCAGTTCAAGAAGGATGAGGAACTCCTGGAGAGAGTCCAGAGGAGGGCAACTAGGATGATGACTGGGGCATCTCCCCTACAAGGAAAGGCTGAGGGAGCTGGGCTTGTTCAGCCTGGAGAAGAGAAGGCTGAGAGGGGATCTCATCACCACGTACAAATACCTCAAGGGTGGAAGTCAAGAGGGGCAGGGGGGTGGCACTGGGTGAGCTCCGGAGGGCCCTGCCAACCCCTGCCATGCTGGGATTCTGTGAAAACCCATAAATCCTAAGCACTGCACAGCTACCCGACAGACCTGGTACATTAGGATGCTTTTCAATAAAGCAGAAGAAAGTGACAATAATAGAGAACAAACTATGGTACCACACAACCTCATCTTTTTAAAAAAAAAAAAAATATTGACATTCATTGTGATGCTCAGTGCAAATAGCACCAACAGCTTGGCCAGCAGGGTAAGCAGAAGGTACACGTCTGGATGACTTTTTCCCCTCCCTGTTGAAGTCATGGCCTGATGCCCTGGTTATCTTCAGGCACCTGAAGATAAACTTGCCTCTGTGATGAATAAAAGTGAAGGGGGGGAAAAAAAAAAAATAAATCTAAGCTGCCCTGCCCCTGCAGGCACATCCTCTTGTTTGAACGGCATCCCAAAGTCGTGCCACTGAAAAGGAACAGCAACACAGGGAATGAGAGCTCCAGGAATGGAATTCACACGGATAATCACTGTAAAAAAAGAGTCCACAAAAAACACAATAAAGCACAAAAGCCCTGTACACAGTTTGGTCTCAATCGCGACTGTGCACAGTTCGCGTTGAGCTGGTCCCTGTTCTCTCATTTATTTGTGAGCTTTGAAGAACAATCCTAGCTGGAATTCAGAGGAACAAAAGCCAAGCTATACCCCCCTACAATAAACATAGTTTGGAAGATGCGGCAAGAGATGTTGAGAGTCAAACACCGGACAAACATTAAAATTACTTTCTTGGGTCAGGACACAAGAAAGGAACTGAAAAACGAGAAGGCAAGGGCACGCAGAAGTAGGGAAATAAAAACCCCTCGTGTTCGAGTGCTGAGCCAACAGCGCTCTACCTCCGCGCTGTGAGAGGGACCTCTCCTGGATTTACATTCTGCCCGTTGGAAGCCAGAACACGGTTAGCACATGGCTAACGTGCACGTTCCCTGCGTAAAGCCCTCTATCTATCTGATGCAGTGTGCACTCGGCTCCTTCCTCTCTGCTGTTCTTTCTGCAAATCACGAGAAGTAACCCGGGAGCTGGTCAATGCTGCAAGCAATTGCAGTTTTAAGACAGAGGATGGAAGCAGCTGTGGGCACAGAGACCAACGCTGACAGAGCAACGGAGTCTGGAATCAAGAGGGCTAAAGCAGACGAATGGCTAAAAATGAATCCAACTAGACCAGGCAAAACACTCTAACAACTTCAATTCTCAGTCCTCAGTACTAAACAGTGGCTTTCCTGCTTTTTTCTCTTTGTCTTTCATTAAGAAATACTTTCATCAGTGGAGATGAGAGAGATTCTATGTACGTTCGTAAAATAGAGAATGATAGAGAAGACAGACAAACAGCAACGCATGCTTTCACACCTATGCCACATCCCGGAACGCAGGCGGGTTGATCCAGTTCCCGGCTGTTGCAGGGTTTTTTCACTCTCACCCACAACGACAGCAAATAGCATAGGAAATACTGACACTGTCACCATTCACTGCTCTCCAGGGAAAGGTGGTTCTGTCCCACAAGAACAGGGTGTTCTGGAAAAGAAGAAATCCTACCTCAGCGGACTCCCCGTTGGGTGACAACGTGCAGGTCAGCGTACGCTCACCCATGCTGTACGGGTATTGCTTCAGGAAGCTGTGCATCGACCTGGCTGACTTGGGACTGTCCAGCTGCAGAATCGCCTAGAAGGAAAAAAAAAAAAAGCACAGGCTTCAAATAAGCCTTACTCAACCCTTACTCCATCTTCCCTCTGTACTGCAGAACAAGTGAAGAAAGTAAGCTGGTGCAGCACGGGATATCAGTACTCCTGAAGGGCTTCGACATCTTCATTTTAAGTGAGCTGGAAGCACTGGTTTTTAGTAAATCCTACATTCCTGCATATGGAGAACGGTGGCCTCTTCTTTCTGAGAGGCTGAAAGAAGAAATCTCTCCTGCTTGGGATTATCTTCAGAAATAAATAAAGAACTACATCACAAGGGAGTGGAGCCTGGAGCTTCCCTACCCTCATGTGCCCAACCTTCCGGCTACAGAAAAAGCCATCTTCACCTGGCTTATTAGTAGCTGGATGCTTGAAACAGCTCCTAATAATGGGAGCACAACTGCATTTTAATCGTTAAAAATGTACATGTCTATGCAGTTCTAGGTCATAAACTAAAAATCCAATGTTAAGTGCAAACCCAGCAACATTCAAAATTATCAGAATTTCAGAAAACTGACAATCAAGTCACTACATTTTGGAGCGTCCCAAACTAAAAAGTAATTTCAACAATTCTGACATTTCCACCTCGTACTAAAATAATTTTTTTCCCCAGGTTTCCTACAAAACGAGAACTCATTTTCCCCCCCTTACACCTCTAACATCAAAGCTGACCGGTTTCTCCAGCCCCTTGGGAAGCTTTACCTTCAGCACTTGCCAAGCCAGAAGTTTGGCTGCTTGGTTCTTCTTCCTTTCCCACTGTCCCCAACAAATAAGACAAACTATTTTCTTGTTCAGGATGAGTGGGAAAGAGTTTTGAATCTCTCGATAGCAGAACGCTCTCAGCAATGGGAGTACAAATAACTTTTTATTTTATTTTCCCTAACATAGTACTTCGCACCATAGAAAAAGAAAAGAAAAATCACCTTGTTTTTATTCTTCAGTACGACGTAATGATCTACCTTCCCGAATCGAAGTCCCACGCAAACGACTTCAAGTTCTCTGTATCCATCGTCGGGCAAGTTCCCCAGATGCACAAACTGGTTATGTATAGTTTCCGTATTTACCTGAAGAAAAGTGATGACAAACCTTGCTTTAACTCTGTGACACGCTTTGTTAGCGGCCAGGTGAGAAAAGCCTGACAGAAAGCTTCTGGGTCATCGGATCTTACCGAAAAATAGCATTCGCCCACACCCACTGATCGCGTTTTCAGATTCACACCAGATTTGCCAGTTTTCTATGCAGTACCTCAAAAGAACCAACTATCCTTCCCATGAATAACAAACTTAAAAGGATCGAGTCGAGTGGTTTATTTTAAAATTTTTTTAAACTATTTTAAATTTTTTTTAACTAGTGGAAGTCTCTAAGAACACTGCAAAATATACCTGAAGTTTAAATAGAATTTGGTATTTTGAAAAGCAGACACTACCTAGTCAGATTATAGAATCATGGAATCAGGGAATGGTTTGAGTTGGAAAATCCCTTTCAG